AAGTACCGTAAGTTAATTCCGACTAGCCTCTCAATCAGGTGGAGCGAAGGATAAGATTAGGTATGCGGTTCCTTACTTCCCTCGGCTCGTGAGCTTAAAGCTACGCACCCAGGACCCAGAAAGCCTTGGCCATCGAGAGTCGAGACAGCCATCCATCAAGGCCAGCCAAATATTGATAATTATCATTTTGCTTTTACGTCCACATGGATGGAAATACCTCCTGAAGTTTCTGCAGAACATCTCGACTAAGAATTTCTGGTACGGTAGACTGTAGATTAGGTATTAACCAACGCACCTGCTATAGGCGGTGAGCACACTCGCAATAATGCTTCTGTTCTACGGAGGCATATACTCACCTGATTTAGGTTCTGGCCTAACCCCCTTCTTGTTCTGAAATATCAAGAATAATGATTTATTATTCGACTTGATTCGACTGTACTACCGCCGTTCTTATCATTTCAATGATGATAAAGGGTGATAAGTTACTGTGCATACAGATTTTGACAAGTAGTGGTAGTAATGCGCCTCAGCGCCACATCTCCATCGACACATCCCGGCCAACATGTCACTTTCTTTCCTTTTTCTTCCTGTTCTTTTCTTCTTCCCCTCTCCTTTTGGCCGTTTGGGGATCGGGCGGGCCCTAGTGGGAATGCAGCCAAATTCTGCCTAGATTCCAGGACCCAGCCCCACCCCCATCACAACCAACCTCCAATAATCAACCCAGGAAACCAGTCCATGCAAAGCTACACTTGTCTCACTATGGAAGGAGCCTCTCTTGTTCTAGATTCCTATTTTCTACTCATTTATGCCTGTAATTTTGGGTGGAGGAAGAGGAAGAAAGAGACGAAAAGAAAAATAAAAAAGGAAGAGAGGGTTCCTTCTGAAATGGCTGGTTTGAAGTCACAAACTGATCTACGAAGGGTTAGGTACATGATTTATGAATACTTAAGATGAAAAGAGAAAAATGGAGATTGACGGAAATAATAATTCCTGGCATGAACCGGAGCATCGTCCATCTCCTCATCAAATCAGCGGCCAAATGGCAACGGCAAATTCTGAAAGACCCTAGGTATTCCAAACACAAGCAAATACATCATCAATTTCACTCACCCTTCAACTTAGAAGGATAAACTGTGCTACATCTCAGCGCCTTACATGTTGATAGGTTGCACTGTTAGTGTTATTAGGTATGGCTTGCCTGTACCTTAAAGCCCAGACAATAAGTTTGTCGAATCCAGCTATCTCTTGATTTGGTTCATGTGCCCATGCACCATGGGTCCTCTCTCCATTAGTGGCTTGTTGTCACAGCAAATCCGCTACTTCCATGCTTACCTCTCATGAAGTAGCTAACCACCGAAACGGCCTCAGGGCACTCGATCCCTGGATGCCACTCCATTGTGGCTAAACATCAACTATCATGTGGGCTAACAAGTCCAGAAAAATGATAAATAACGCGTCCTTTGTACTACTACCCCTACTGCGAATATACTACTGGACAACGAGGCTTGATCCACAGGCCCATTCTAATACTAAAAAGTAGAGTACGAGTAGTAGTACAAGGACATCCTGGCAGATACGTACTTGACCTGCCGCTGTCATGTCGTTGACTAACATAAAGTAGGTGGTAACTACTCCATAGTCTCCGGGCAGGGACGACTCATCTTAAGCATGACTATCATAGCTCTTAAGGATTGTCACTTTTGCCACAGTCCTCAGCAGTTTACCTCTGTATAACTACCTCAATGAAGACCCATCATACTACATTCCGAATAATCAAGCTAAAAAAAGCCCACAGAAAAAGAAAAGAAATAAATTAATAATAAATCAAAGAAGGGAAAACAGAAAATCGGTTAAAGAAAAGAAAGATGAAAAAAACGAAAAAGGGAGAAGAAAAAAAAAAAAAAGAAAAAAAGAAAGAATCCATGGAACCCACCGGGTCAGGAACATCCTGGCGGTACCCAATCATCAATGCTCCACACAAGCCATTGCTATCATCTTTGCGTCCTTGGTCTCCTTGAAGCTCGGACGCCTTCCTTCCCTACCTGCCTGCCTACCTGACTAAATATTGGGGGGGAGAAAAAACTACCAAGCCTTAAGATATCCGACCAGACAGAAACGAGGATGGTAGACACTGATTCTGCCACCGTTCCGTTGTGGCTTGGGTGGTATCCGCGATCCAAGTACCTCGATGGGACCCGGGCCCTTCACGAACTGCCCAACTATTATTGTCACTACTGCCTGTTCTGTGTTGAATGACGATCCTCTTCTGTTGTGGCTTTGACGCCTGTCTGTTACAATCAGGCACCAGTCTCATGGGCGTTTCATTGTCTTCTCAGACCCTCCGGATCTTGTGTCCTCGTCAGAAGAATCATACAAGCCCATCTAGTCCATCGGACAGATTTGACGCTGTATACAGTAGCGTCAGTCTATCCAATAGTCGCGCGAATCGCTCGGGGGATTGCTTGTGATGCTGTTGAAGCCTCAGATGCAGCTCTTTGTTTCAGACGGATCGGATCAATCGAGCCAAGTGACAGACTATTTTTTTTAGAACTCTTCAAATATAAGGCAGGGAGCAGAAGCCAGCAAAAGAGGTAATTCATTCTTCGTGGAGTGGGCAACCTGAAATCAGCTTCGGTGCCTTTTCCCGGTGCTATTATCTACCACTCAAAGCCTCAGTGAAATTCTGATACCATCATCGATGCGCCACATTTGACAGCCAGACAAACGAAGTCAAGGCCCCGTCTTTCCCTCGCCGATACTATATCTGTATCTAAAAAGAACACGTCCCCGGTGTGCCCCATTGACCATTCTCAATTTCCGCCCCGGTAGCCTTACCGACTCCCCACATCGTTGCAGTCTTTTTTTCCCTCCCCTTTGGCATTGTTTGCTTCTTGAGGCTCACTTGCACTACTCCTGTTAGAGTTCTGACGGTAGAGATCATCTCGGACATTTCTAGGGGTGCCGAGCCTGGAGGGTCATCTTCTTCCATACCCCTTCAGTCCTAGTTGATTTACGTTTTTGCAAAAAGCTCAAGGAAAAGCAAACCGTCACACACTACCGGAAATAGCACTTGCTCGTCCCATACCGACAATTTTGGGGCGTATCTGAGAGTCGATAACCTCCGGGACTCTTATCATATTGGAAGACTCGGCACCTACAGCCCCAGTACCAATCTGTTGGCTGTAATTGAATAATCTGAAGAAACCCTGGGTTGCGTTTCAGAAGAGGTATGTACGTATCATACATTTGGTATCCTTTATCTCCTTCGAACTGTTTACTCTGCCATTCCCGACATTATTTTTTACAACCTTCAAGATGCTTTGGTTGGAAATAGTCATTCCTTATGAGGCTGCAAGGCCCGGATTCAAAGGCTGATGCTCTTTCCATCCCGACTCATCCTTCGTTTTATTCATTGTTCTCTTTTGGACTTTTTCCCTCACAAAGACACCTACAAATCTGGACTCCCAACAGTGACTCTTCCTGGAGTCAAGGGTGATATAGTCCATCCAGTGGTACTGCTACCCTTTTGCCTTGGTATGCATGCAATTGAACCATCCCCCTTGACAAGTTGATTACCATGTGGAAGGATATCTGCCATGCTGTGGTTGTTACCTCTTACCCGTGATCCACTGTTTGGTTTTCCCTTGTTATTTTTTTAATATTTCACACCAAGGCTCACCCTTCCTATTGTGATTAATTTACCTCCACAATCCCCCTTAACCATTTTCTGCCAAGGTGATGCACACACCATGCCCATGCACACTAAGCCTTTGCCTCTTCTGCTTATGCCCTATTTCTAGCTCATGATCGCATCACTATCTTCCAGAAGAGCAGCTCAGCAGATATACAGATGCTGTCGTAAGGCATTTCTGCCCTTTCATCAATACCTCCATATTCGATCATGGCCAGTTTATGGCTTATGATCTTCTTTCTGCCATCTCACAGTTCCCCACTGTCAGCCGCCACTATATATGCCTTCAATGTCACATTTCCGTTCCCCACCTATGGTTAGAACATCCCAGCCCTTCTGCGTGTGCGTGTGGTTATTCTATATCTGTGTGCGCATGTGTGCATTTTTCTGTGTGTGCGTGCGTGCAAGCGTGTATATTCTGTAGTTCCGTGCACACAAGCCCCTCCTGTCGTCGGATAGCTGGAGTGTTGGCTGAACATTACACTGGGCGTCAGATTGGGCTCCCTTTTCCCTGTGGATGGTTCCCTCCTCACAGCTTGCCCTGTCCATGACACTTCTATCATCCTTGCACTTGCAATTGGTCATGGTACTTGGTTTCATCTCTGGGCACTTTCCCCTATCTTCTTATGTGTGTGGCTTCTGTCTATTTTTTTTTTGCTATTTGGCCTATCTGGGGCCTCAACCTGTCATTTACGGCCGATGATCTTGGGTTCTAACCAGCAGTGGGCAAATCCTCTAGTTGTTATAGTCGGCGTTGAACTGTTACCAGAATAGATAGCAGTGTGAAATACATCTTGAAAGAAAAGAAAGGTATGTTGACTTCCGCTACGGTCCTCCGATTTTGAGATTTCCCGGAGGAAAAGTCTGCGACAGTAATTCCCGTGAACAGGATCTTGTTTATCACGATTCTGACTTTCTTTCTATGCGCTCAATTCCAGTTCCGATGGACAATGCTCCTTCAACACAATCCAACCAATCTGGGGGAGCATCAAACGGCAGACGTATCTCCTCAGAGGAGCGACTCGGTCACTCAAGGGCTCAGCAGCCAGTGTCTGGTAAGACTTTCTTTCTTTTCGCTCTCTTCTGAGCGGAGCCTAGGCGAAAATATTTCAGGGGGAGGAGCTATGTTGGTTGGCAAAGTCGACCCGATTCGGCTTCTGTTCTGTTACTTTTATTATGCTGCGCTGACGAGAACACCTTTCGCCTTCTGGTAGACACAGGCACTTTTCGCCGGAATCCCTCGCGATCTGAGAATGTTGACAAGCACCCGGAATCGCATGGCCGTGGAGCGCCTCCGTCGGCCATGAACATGGGCGATATGAGGTCCACGCTACCGGGCTACAATCAGCCTCCTATGCAATCACCTTACGTTCCTGCTGCGATTCACCCGCATGGCGTTTTATATCCTTTGCAACCATTACCCTCGTTTGCCGACTCCACATCGGGCAGGACTGTCTCTTATAATGCTCACTATTCCCAAATGTACATACCTTTCGCTCAGCAGCCGCAGCACCAACAACAGCAGCATCAACATCATCATCAGAGTTCTTCTCTCCAGCATGGCATTCCCGATTATCAGCTGTTCGTGCCGAACATGACCGCACCCTCCAACGTCCCTCTTTCGAGCCAAACTATTGTTTTTGGGCTTGGTTATTATCCTCAGCACATCTATACAGCGGCGGTTGGACACGGTCAAGGTCCACCGGGCCCCTCGATTTACTTGCCTCCCAGTAGTCCATATCACAACACATCAGGGCTAGCTGCCCAAGTGCCCTCCAGCTTGCCAAGAGAAGGCCAGCAAAAGTCCCCCACAGCGAAGTATGATGTTTCCAGAACCATCGTTGATGGCTCAACACCCATGAGACCGACAACCGCCCAGATTATCGCAACAGGTAAGCAAGCAACGGCTGTCATACAACAATGGGAGGTATGCGCCTTTCGTTTGCCATTCCGCTGATGTCAATGCACAGACTCGTCTCTACCACCAGCCACGTTAGGGTCTGGTACTCCTTGGGGACCTCCTCGGAAGCCCAAGCAGTCCGGCCATGCTCTTTGGGTCGGGAATCTTCCCGCTGGGACAAACGTCGTGGATCTTAAGGATCACTTCTCTCAAGGCGCTACGAAGGACATCCAAAGTGTATTTCTCATATCGAAGAGTAATTGCGCGTTCATCAATTACAAAACAGAATCTGCCTGCGTCGCTGCCTTGTCTCGCTTTCATGACTCCAGGTTTCACGGGGTGAGGCTCGTTTGTCGCCTACGGCGAGGGTTGGCCTCTCCTGGGAAGACGTCCAATATCGGCTCCTCAAGCACATCGCCTGTGAACGAACACAGTGCTTCAAAGCTGTTAGACAGCAACCCAGAGATTGAAGAAACTTTGGAGACACGTCCTGTCCATGGAAGGCACGCAAATCTAAGGCTACCTAACAGGTACTTCATAGTCAAGAGTCTCACGGTCGGCGACTTGGAATTAAGTAGACAAAGCGGAATCTGGGCAACCCAAAGCCATAACGAGGATAATCTCAATCGGGCTTATGAAGTGAGTGGCTCTTTCGTTTCTCCCTACTTCCTCACTCCTTACTGGTTGGGAAGCGATGCAAGAGCCGCTTGCACTGACTGCTACATTTTAGAGTGCCTTCAATGTTTATTTAATATTCTCCGCCAACAAGTCCGGAGAGTACTATGGATATGCTCGCATGATGTCGCCGATCAAGGAAGATGAAACCTTAGCTCTGGAGATGCCCGTGCGACCTGACCATGGTCCTCCTGAGCCAGAGGAATTGCACGTGATTTCAACTCAAGCTACAGCCACCGCGCCAACCGGACGAATCATAGATGACTCTTCACGAGGAACCATATTCTGGGAAGCGGATTCATCCGAGGAGGATGGTGATGATGGTGATGATGGCGGTGGTGGTGGTGACGATGACAGTGGCGAGGGGAAGGAGGAAGGGAAGGGGGATGAGAATAGTGATGAGGACGAGATTGGGGGTGGGAACGAAAAGAGCGCTGCAGAATTAGTCGAAGAAGCTGCCGAGTCGGGATTTCAGTCGATAGGAAGGCCGTTCCGGGTCCAATGGCTTTCAACAGAACGGGTTCCATTCCATCGCACCCGAGGTCTTCGCAATCCGTGGAATGCAAACCGCGAAGTCAAGATTGCCCGGGATGGCACTGAAATCGAGCCGAGTGTCGGCGAGACGCTGATTCGGTTATTCCACACGCAACACCCAAGCCACGGGTTTCCGGCATATCACACTTCGCTACCCAACTAAACAGAGCGAGTGATCGCAACCACTTTCCGGTCTCTTGAGAAAGTTAGGTCACAATGCAGCGTCGCTTTTTGCATACAAGATCAAGATGCATGTCCGTGAGCCCCTGCTTGTGGACCAATAGGACTGGCGTACCGAGTACGACGCACACGAATTAAAACATAGAACACGATGAACGAAATAGACAGAACTAGCATGTATATAATATAAAAACGAGTTATCCACTTTTGTATGTTTACTCTTTCGACCAACAGGTTGTATCACAGATTGTAGTATGTTTTCTAGTGACCTACCTGTTTCAAGCCATGTGGTCATCATTGTAAGGGAGGAACCTTATGAACAGACTCCGTAAGTAGAGAACTAGATAGGTAGATAAGCACTGTAGAGTGTGCACTGGCGATGATGGAGTAGGAACTGTCTTGGGTAGAAAAGGTTTCTGCCTCAGTCTATGTCGTGGTTTAGTGGCAGCTATGTACTAGACTACCTTAGATAGTACATACATCATATAGGGTAGCTCAAGCAGTGTTTCAAAAGTCAATCCTGCAGCAAAACTAGGTTGGTACTAAGGTCAAGATCTCTGAGGTATGTAAGCTTTTAGAACTTGATGATTGCTTGATTAGGCGAAACCTCGTGACTATTTTACTTGTGGAGGTAGGTCTGTGGAACTTAACAAAGTTCACACTAGCCCCAAAGAGCCGAAGCTTCTTAGGCTAAGCCAGAAGCAGTAGTGCTAGGGTGGATCCTTGATTCTCCCCCCATGAGGATGGTGTCGAGAACTTGAGGGATGTTTGGATAAACGAGAGAGATTGACACACATATCGACTCATTCCTTAATGGAGTGAAGGGTGTTATTGCGCTCTATATGTTTTATCGCTTAGGATGGCATTGGATGAAGTTCATTCTGTAAAGAACCCAATTTTTCTCAATCAACAGCTACCATACATTAGTTACTCCGTAGTTACTCCGGATTGATTTCTCTGCTATCTCAACTCCCTAGTCCTTTTCTGGACTAGTCGGACGGTCCCCGGATTCTCTTTCTGTGGATATCTACCCACTTGTTCAGTTGGCTAGACCAAATCCGTCCCACGGTCAGAGCCCATGGAGAAGCAGGAGGATGACGATCATGACGATGATGACTATAAATGATAATGATTAATCAAATAGGAAAGCCTTATGTCCGTCTGTCGTAGCCTTTTTATCGTCATGGATATTATATTATCATCACCCATGGATCTTCGCACCCTGATATAATTGATCACCTTAAGTGAGTTACCCTTCACGCTTACTGGATATTTTTGGGAAGAATGGGAGGTGGATTTGTGTGGGGTAAAAAAGCAAAGATAACTCGTAAGGTAGGTAAGCTCTGCCTAGCTCCTGCTATCGTCCGTCAAGAATAATAACTTATTGCACACTCAGTTACTTTCATTTCATTTCTCTTCTTTCTCTCCCTCTCTACCTTCGCAAATCTACATCCTCAACAGCAGAAACAACAGTATCCATCGTCATCCACAGCCAGTGTTTCCACCTTGTCATCCTCTTCCTTCATTCTTCGTCTACTTCTTGACAGTGTCCTTGTATGTCAGTCCCTCATATTGTTTTTCTCCAACTGGCTTGTTCGCTGCTGCTTGATTGAACTCACCCCGCAAACCAATTTCCTGTCCCTCCTGCCTTAGCCTCGTGCTCTCCGTCTACTCAGCTTCTGATTCCGCATATTCTCTCGTACATTCCGCTCTTTCTCTTGCCACCTTAGATTTCTGTCACCTTCTTGTACCCCAAGCTGTACGGGAAGGATCGAGAGGGCCCCTCTGCTACCCCTTGGGCTACTTTCCGTGTCCGTTGTGGTTTTTTGCCGCTCTCAGACATATTCGATTACCATACCCACTGCTAATATGGCCTGATCTCAAATTCACCCGCTGATCCATGTACTTGGGAGCATCCTACTAATCTCCTTTGCTTAGAATCTGCCGAACCCTCCCCCCCCCCCTTATTCTTATATTCACTATCGACCTTTCCTCCTCGTGTCTTGTCTCAATCAATCTATAACCCCCTCCCTTCGCTGTTGGTTGCCTGCGGTTGACGTCACATACTTGTGACGGTGAAACATCCAGATCACCATTCATTCGTCAACTGCCGATAGCGTTCCTCAACTTCCATTATTTATATTTCTGCTCTTTCTTTCGGTTCGCGTTTTCCGCCTACCCACGCTTGATTAATACAACCCCGTAGCCATCTCATTGGACCATTTACTCAAAAAGAAAATTTTGTATCAAACTATCTCTGTGCACTTGTCGGTGCATTCTTGTTCTTTTCTACTACGAATTCTCTTTCAGTGATCTACCATGTCAAACGACCGGTCTACTTCTCCAATCTCTGTACCATCCTCATCTGCCCACCAACGGCGGCCGTCCCTATCCTCGGGCTTCTCATTCACCGATTATCTCTCCAGATCGAGCAACCCAGGGGCTCCGCCAGGCGGCCCCACTAGTCACATGGCTAGCACTGGAAACAATGTCCAGCCAAATCGACGACGCAGGCTGTCAATCAGTACGCTTGGGCTTTCCGGTTCGCCGACCCAAACCGCACCCTTTGGGGTCAGAAATCCTCGGCATGGCAGCTTGCCTAGTTCCGTCGGTTCAAGTCCAAACGCCGATGAGTCCGCCATGGATGATACAGACAACGGCTCTTCCAGCGTTCCTCCCAGCTCGCCGTTTGCACGACGTCTCTCTTTTGGTGCGCAGGCCATGCGAGATGTTCGTGGTGGAAGTATAGGCAATGGTAGATATACCTCTCCTGGGTCTTCTGTGGCTGGAGGGCGCCGGAGCACGACGACCACCAGTCTTGCCAATAGCCCCCCTGCATTAGTTGTTGCAAGTACAAATAAAAGCTTTCCTCAGAAAGATATGTCTAACAACTCGTGGCGACCCTTAGGCGAAGGCTTCAACTGGTCGGAAGCTCTCCGAACACGGGCTGAGCGTGCCCCATCCATTGGAGGCATCTCCCCAATCGCGGGTCAGAGCCAACAACATGTGGCCACTCCGGAACACCAACGCTATCATCAGAGAGCTGCTTCCATTGCTTCAATGGAGCAACCTGCTCGAGAGATACCAAAACAACCAAAGCAGAACAAGCCTGATTTTTTCCAAGAGAAGATTCTCCGAGGAGATTTTATGGATTAGGCTTTGTCGTTCTTCGCACTTGCTCCCCTTCTCCTTCTCCCAATGGACAAATCAATCGACACAATGCCGCCATGATGTGTGTCTTCCCATTTGTTCGAAAAGAACTATCTGTCAACCCTCAGAACAAGAGTGCAGCATATCTGCATCTCTCTGTCTGGACCGTCAATGAGGAGTCAACATGGAAGCATGTTGATAAAAATACTTTTCTCATTTGGCCATTTCATCTACGATTGCAGACCCCACACCATACATCCCAAAGGACCTGACCAACTTCGGGGTTATGAAGTAGATCTTGTACACTTCCAGATGATCTGATTTGGGCATTATGGGTTCTCTTCGTTCCTTCCCACCTTTTTCCCTTCTGCCATCGATTCACATGATCCCATATTCAATTTTCGTTTTCTAGTTTTCTGCGGGCATGAAACGAAAGCGCTTTGACGGAATTTCTTGTTCGTTTGCTTTTACTCTTGTATTGGAGTGAGGTTCCAGTTATTCGGAGACTGCTGGCAGACCGATTGATCTGATGCTACTTTCTTTTGCTAAATGAGTATTGACACTGATTTTCGGACCGCAAGGGGCTAGGAGAATCTGTTGTTGAAAGTGCCTGTCCTGTCTCACCTTTTCGGCGTTTTCAAGCTCTGTCATGCCTTGAATCCTTATGTATCCTGTCCTTCCACTATTCAATAAGACAATATCAAAATCAAATTTGAGATAATCTTGGGCCGGGCTTGGATCATAGCCAGCCCATGATCAGTCTTATCAAAACACAGCGAGGAAGGGCTGTCTTGTGAACGTCATTTCTATATAGTACTTTGACATTTTGGCTCATGAGGGATAAGTCGCCTTCAGCGACTCGCCGGATTGATTTCTGATTCGTCACCATAACTGGCAAAGGCATTTATGCCAGGCTGCCGGATACTGCCCAAAATATAGAATAAGTCGCTTCCCCCTGAGGTAGCAACCTTAGGCACTGATCGACGCAGCCTAGAGAGCAAACTCGTGGTCATGTGAGCGAAGGTTTCGCTATATAAGGCAGCACTGCTTGTATCATAGGACTCTTCAGGCCAGATTATTTCCAGGCTGAAGATGGGCCAGCAGCACTATCATCAATATGCTGGTGGTGAACCCAGTCACTATCAGCGTCTTGTTTGCCCGAGCTTTCGGCCCAGTCAATCCCCACTGTTGTCCTCCGGTTCAGAACTTGCGCCATGATAATACGGTGCTCCGGGGGTGAAGGTACTTATTTGCTGCTTTTTCCATGCGGGGACACGCATAACATACATCTTGTCCTTCCCCGGAGTTTTGCCCTTGCCTTCCAACACACAGAAGTAGACGACCAGGACCCCAGCAAACAGGCATCCGGCGAAGACGTAACCGTACGCGAATTCTACATCATCGGTAATAAACGGGGTGGAGAAACCAATGAGAAAATCTTCAAACCCAGTTTGGAGTCGTGGCCCTCGCGGGATACCGCAATGGATAGAGCTCAGCAACTATCGCCCACATCATAGGGCTCCATGTCATGGCGAACCCGCTTTTTCAGGTTCAAATCCGATATCAGGATCGGCCTCATCACTCAACCAAGGTATCACGAAACATGTGAGGGGAGACTAGAAGATTCTCACGTGCTAAACAAGCATGCAAACACCACCATTGCCTTTCCGGCACCAGGAGTCTGAGGAGGATCATGGACATTTAAGGAGAAATGTCCGACGGAGACGAAGACCATAAAACATACGAATATCCAAATGCCCCCAGTTATGAGTGACTTGCGACGCTGGAAGTGCTCGATGACATACAGACCTCCGAATGTCGTGCCGAAATTGACAACGCCAAGGATCAGCTGCGTGACATAGGTGTTTTTGATACCGGCTCCATTGAACACAACGGTGCGGTAGAAGAAGCAACTAGCACCGGTCAGTTGCTGTAAGGCTTGTAGCACGATACCGAGGAAGATCCGGTACGTCATATGAGGTCCTTGAAACATCTCGACCCAGCCATGCCATCCCCCTTTAGACGCACTCTCGGCCTCAAAGCTGATCCTCGATTTCGCTGAGCTCCTCCAAAATCACACGATGATTTTGGGCACCCCGTAGAGATTTGACATGGTACTTTTCGCTTGGTCGATGCTTCCGCGACGATAATCATAGCGCGGGTTTTCCGGGAAAAAAACATGATTCCTATTCCTAGTATTAAGCCCGGAGGAATGTGATCCAAGAGTGATACGCCACGAGCCGGAGTTGGCTATTGATTTGGTGCCGAAATTGATGGAGTATGCGACAAAGATCCCAATGTCACAAATAATTGATACGAGCTGCGGAACGCGACGGTCAGACGCTCTGAGTGCATAACCAGACTAAAGAACAGCAAAATTCCTGACAAACCATTCCCCCGCGAACCTGTCGAGAGGCACTCTCGCCTTGGTACACAGGAACCGACAAAGAACATGCCCCAATACCGAAATCGGTGAGAAAACGTCCCATCATTTAATTGGTGCCATTTCGGCGCTGGAGAGGATATCTGTATGATCAGACCGACTTGGAGAATGACGCACCAAATTGCAATCGACCATTTACGGCCGACTCGATCTGCCAGTGGCCCGGCCAGTAAAACTCCTAGAATAGTCCCAATGGACAGTTATCGACATGCTTGTCGTCAGAAATTCTTTGCACTCGCACATCTCTAGACTTATCCAATAATGGCTGATGGGTACGCCCCAGAGAAACGAAGAGGCTGGAACGCACGTCGCTGAAGGTGTATCTTCCGTCGTCTCGTACCTACCAAATCTGCGCTTAAAATCATTCATCTCAAGAAATCTGAAATCTGGCCGGTGTCATAGCCGAATATGATGCCGCCAACAGACGCAAATGGGCCAAGTAACAATGGATGCCGTGTGAGGAAAGGAACATGGCGATCGGTCACATCAAGTTTCTCTTTCCCCGAGTCCATTGGGCCCGATAACTGAGTAAATTGAGATGAGACATTGTCTAGAGCGCGCAGTCGAAGCTTATGCGCTGAGATTTTCGTCCCTATAAAGGAAAGAAAGACTAGTGGAAGATTCAAGAAATAGGGTTGTGGACAGCGGCCAATGGTTTCAACCATGATAACACCCCTGGCCAGCTGAGGAATCCTTCCCATATATTCAGAAAGAGGTTGCCGCACCCGATGTAAAAGACCCGCTGAGATCATCTAGAGCGACCCCATAGCATATAGGAGTGGAATAAGTCTTGCTGGCCATCCCAGGCACGTAACTTGCCACCTGGGGATCTCACGGCAGGGGTCAATGACAGCATGACCGGAGAGGACATTGAGGGGATTTTTCTCATTCGAGAAGCTTGCATATGCTGTGTAGTCCCTCGTCTATTTTTCGTACTTTAAGCTATTCCTCACTCAGAGCCTAGGAATTGGCGATGAGCAGCACAGCATCCAATGCCGTCACATCCTTCTGACACCACCCTCACACCCTACATGCAGAACGTACTTAAGAGTCGGAGGGCATCCGTGCTACTTGTAACGTCAACTCAAAGGGTTGATAATAAGGACTTGTAACGAAGTCGGGTTCCAGCGAAAAGGTAAACTGAGTATATCTGGATCGCAAGTATGTGAAGTGAGGTTGCTGGCGCAGGTCCACAGTATAGCTCTACCAGTTCGGATCTGTCTGCTGGTGGCCTTTGGATTGTCCCCTTAGATCTTATATTTAAATATCTCGAATTACTGCGTGCTTAGGCAAGATGGCCGAGTTGGTCCAAGGCGTGAGGTTAAGGTCTACCTTAATATCAACTTTTCAAGTTCCTCATCATCGTATGATGGCGTGGGTTCGAATCCCACTCTTGTCATTCCTTTTTTGTGCCTCTTTATAGCCTTGTCAGTCTTGTCAATAAAACTGAACTATATATATACTCTGGTCCAACTGAAGACAAACAATACTTATATCAAAAAATGTCAAATATAACAAGGGTGGCATTCAACCACGCCTTCATACGATGATGAGGAAGGAACTTAGAAAGTTGATGTTGAGGTGGACCAACTGTGCCATCTTGCCTCAGGAATGCCAATCGTCACTTCAGCCAAAAATGCACTCTAAACAAGTAGATATCACTTGAACTTTGTAGCCTAACTCAATGACAAGACTCCATACTTGTCGAGAAAGCACTGGCCGGGAAGGCTTCACTTTCGACAACGGGATTGTAGAGGTAATTCGAATGACAGATTCCGTTCGAGCTGCTGAGAATAGTCCCCCTGAGTATACAGTTAAGTAAATGGTATGTAACCGACAAACAGAATGTCTGATCAGTAAGGTATTCCGTTTGTCAACAATTGAAACTGATCATATCCCTTTGTTGAAACGCTCATGTATGACTTGCGGATGAGTTCCCGCATGTACTCGGCTGCCTCCCTCTCATTCTTCTCTAGCACAAACCTGTCACGGAAGTTCTTGAGCGTATCCGGTTTGAAGCACGGCAGGCCGCTGTCAAGCATCAAAGAGACAATATGAGAGAGCTTGGTGCAAAAGGGACGGGATGCGAGGAATGCCTTTATTACCAAGGATTCGAACCACCGGTATGGCTGTGTAGAAGTTGGGTTGTTAGAGTGCCCTCCAGGTAGTCCGAGCCCGCCATTCGAGCCACCATGTGAATGGACATGTGGATGTGAAGTACCACTCATGACAGCCACCATCTCGGATGTGAGCTTGAAAGGTGCGCGCTCAAAACGTACACCACCTGGAGCAATGTCAAAGCAGAAGCCAAAGTCAATGTGTATGATATGGCCAGCATCATCGATCATAATGTTACCGTTATGCCGATCTTTGAACTGCAAAAGGTAAGAGATGACCGAATAGGCAGCCATACTCTTCACAAAATTCGTTCGCGCTTCCTGGAAACGCATGGAATGCTCCCCACCGTACTTGGAAATGAAGTAGTCGTAAAGACCATTTACTGCTTCACGACCTAGCATATCACGAGAGATGGAGTTGGGAAGAACGTCGATTACTCCGCAGCCAGGGGCCGTCGAAGTCACTCTGTAGGGAAATACCCAAACGTCAAGCCCTGCACTGGCAAAGATGCTGCGAAAAGCCGCGATCATCTGCAAAGCCAGCATGTCCTGGCGACAGTCATCACCAACCTTGAAGATAGCCGACTGCCAAACTTCGTAGGTCTCTTGGGATGAAGGAGAATGCAGAGGCGCCGACAACGTCTTCGTCGAGTCATCGTGGCCAGCAGTACACGGGCGGGATTCGCCCTGGGAATCCCGTTCTTCCCCACGGCTCCTTGTTTTTTGAATCCGAAATGTTGCCATGTACGGAGCCTTAGCGTGACTCTGTAGTGGTTTACCGGACTTTCGGTCGATTCCAACAACGACTCCATCAGGATTGCTCGGAAGGTATACACCAATCTCGACCTTAATTTTTCGAAGTTCCTCCTCGATCTTCGCCTTCTTCTCGGGTTTACTTTTCTTGATATATGGCCGAAGCTTTCCTGATATACCCGTGATCTCGTTGAAGAAAGAAAACTCCCTTTCATAAAAGTCACGCTCCTCGTCGCTGAAGCTAGAAATGAGAGTGTCCATGAAACGGTCAAGAGTCGGCTTGAGCGGGTCGGGCTGTCATTGGATGTTAGTCAATTGCCCGTCAGCGAGGTATCATAACGCACAATCTGGGAGTCTTCGTCCTTATAAGAGTTGGCTTTCATGTTCCAAATCACTTGATGGGCAAACAATTGCGATTGTTTGGCTGTCTCGAGGATGTAACGCTCTACATAGCCCAGTGCATCGTACCGCAAAGCCTGAACGAGCTGTGGGACAAAGTAGAAACGAACGTCTATGGGGTGGCTTTCCAATGCTCTCATGGCGTATTGTAGAACAAACGGATGATTGCCGTATGCTGGTAAGAAATAAGTCAAAGCTTCCGTGGGATTGACTGCTGCCCAATATAACAAATACTGGTAAAGTCAGCTCCCTGTCTCTTCTTTCCTTTGGTTGTTGGGTCTTTGACGATTGAAGAGTGGACAAACGGACCTTCAACTGAAAAGAGACATCCGAGGGCAGTGCTGCACCCAGCATGACCTCGAGACTGCTCGGCTCGTCCAAAGCCTTCTCAGGGAAATTGAGCAGTAACCAACGTATATCAATCTTCATCTTCGGGGACGAGTAGCGCGATGAGAGTTGGATCGCTAGCCCCGGACTCTCAGCCCAGGCAAGCCGCAGAAGATGAATAGCTTCCTAAGCAGGCATTAGATCCCTTGTAACACAATGCAAGGGCATGAACTGCTAGCTACTAGCACCTAACAACAATTGATTGACGAACCTCTGCGGAGTTTCTGTTTCCAGATATCTGGAAATGCTTTCGATCCCCTTCTAAAGGAAATAGCCAGACTCTTAGACGAGATCTCTCATGTTCTATGAGCAGCTGAAGAAGATCATGCTTGGCTTGCAGCGGCTTGAAGTTGCCTCGTATGTGAGAGGGCACAGTCGACAGTCGACGTAAAGCACGGCTAACGTCGTCAAGTATTTGGTCTTCAGCTTTGACCTGCAACCTGTTGCCCCCAAAGGACCACCTGATTAAAGTATAGAATAAGCACTCCTCTCCGACGTTATGGAAAGGTAGACAAACCTCGGTGCATGCTTGAACCAATCGAGCGCAGCAGACAATATTTGATCGCCGAGCTTCCACAAAGCAACATTTCCTGGTTGATAAGAATCTTGTATAACCCTTAAGCCAAAGAGAACAATACGGAAATGCAACTCTCTAGCCAAGGGGTGGCCGCTTGTTTGCAGAAGCCCGACAGTCGTTCTATCAATAAGACGACCGAATAGCCGGCAGTTCTGGGAGCTGTTTAATCGAACGGCATTAAAATGGCTCTCGAAAAAACGAAGGGCAATAAGATGCGGCGCGAGAGTTGCCTGAACCTTCTGTTGCTGCTTCAACAATAGAGCTTTGTCACTAGGAAGAAGCTCAATTTTCGTATACATCGGGTCAACGTAGCTGAA